CGGGGACGACGAGAGGCATTTTGGCAAATGGGTTTGATGTGATTATGTTGAGTGGATTTTCTTTTGGTTATTGGAAGAATATTGGGATGCAGGTTGTGATGCTAAGATATTGGGAGGTGTCACGGCTGGACCTGCGGGTCGAGGCAGCGCTATATAGGTCCACAGATTTGAGCTGAAGACAACACAGCTTCAAGGTGTTTCAGGTGATGACGTAGGCAGGCCGCACCTACCCGCCCCTGAACTGCACGCCCGGCCAGCCAACGCTCACCTGTGCAAATCTCCCCTCCCAGTTTAGGCAAATCACTGAGTGTCAAGGCACCTTAGTTAAAACGTCTAGGTTGGTAACACATGGGTGGCTAGGTTGCTTTAATCTTGTAATGAGCCCGACCCGTTCAAAACTTTCCCTTTCAGCCCAAGCAGCCTGTTGGCTCACGTGAGGCTCAGGTGTAACTCCCTCCCCGAATGGGCCCTAGGGGCCTCCGGCGGTCTGCGCTGGAGCACAGCACAATGACCGCCCTGAGAACAAATGAGCATCAGCCGATTATGGCTTTCCATCTGATAACTCAACGTTGGCTACCTTCATCTACTACTTAGACAATGTACGCTTGTAAGGAGGTGCCTGTGGCATACAAGGCACCGAACGAGGTGGCCTCCAAATCTGCCTACTCGTCGTAAAAAGACAGGAAACTTTTACGACTAATAATATTACAATATTCGTTCTCACTAAATGATAACGATCAATCTTCCACAGTTACTCCCTTGCATCCTACTTTTTCCAGAGTACTGATATTGTGTAAGAGTCTCGGCGGTTACATAACTTTTCTTCGGCCTCTTGATAAGACCGTCTTCGTCCATGCTTGTTATAGGTTGTACGATTGAGCCCCCTTTCGAAACCCCCAACACGTATCCTGCATCGCCTCCCAGACCCCTCCGATTACCGGTATGGATATACGCATGTGTGCTGTGAGCACACGGTCCAGATCTTTCCGCGTAGTACCCGTGTCTACTATTGGTCCACCTCCCTGGGTCATAATCTGTAACTTGGAAACATGTCGCTAGCTTAATATTGAGTCTAGTTGAGTCCCGTCTTCGAGTAGTTACTTGAAAATGATAAAGAACCGAGGAAGGAAATCTCCCTTTCTTACACAGCATTAGACGGGCATGATATGGGACATAGTTGTCCGTGTAATCAGCCAATCATGAAAGGCCCTCCCAGAACGCCACGCGCAGGACTTGTTTGCCATCTTGGGGCGACTTTGTGGGGCATCATATCCATCTCTTGACACCTAAAACAGCTGTAGGCAGACCTATAATATTCGGTCAGCCTGTCTACGTCGTACAAACCGAGGACTGTAAGTTCAGAGTGGATTTGCACGAGACCTGATGAGAGGAAGCCTGATTCTGAAAAGTATATAATCCGCCCTGGATTCTTCGATGTGATGGCCTCTCCTTCGATGTAATCGACAGAGATCACTAGTCTGAACTACTCTATCACACAACAAACACAAGCTTCCCAGAACTACAGATTCGAAACTTGGCTCAGCATGGGAGGGCGTAGCAGCAAAGTCATCAGCGACCACCACTGGTAAGATTCTACCCTTTGTGTAAATGCAAAGGAGTTACACACTAACATACGCCCATGTAGTTCTAATGGCAAGCAAAATGTGACCACGAGATGCCTAGATAAGGGCCACATGGTTATGTGCCCAATTCACCAACACCCTTATCCGTCTTATGAAGAGTGCCACACTTGCAACGAGGCCGAGAAACGGAAAGTGCATAAGGACCGCAAAGCAGCCGCCGAAGCCCGGGAAGCTAGGGTTATCAACCCTTCTCCTCAAACTACACTTGAGAAAACCCTATAGAAAAGAAAATGAACACGAAAGAAAAGAAGGGAGAGTAGAAGTCCGACAAAGCAAGACGTGCAAACGGTTCCGCTATCTCCCCGACAAGCATGGTTATGCGATAATAGATGTTCTATTTGGCTGTGGAGTTGGATCGAATTTATGATTGGGATAATGAACTCGGGTTTATAATGGTTTGGATGATACGTGGGAGGGATATAATGATCGGACAGCAACTCAAAACACATCCTTTGACACTTTCCTCGAATTACCCATCTAATATCAGTGACTTTTAACAACGTGATTTAGCTTCTTGAGGTGGAAAACATAGCCCTTCTAATTCAAAATCACCTATTCAAAATACAGAAAATGGCCTTGCCCGACCTAGATCCATATCGAAAAGATCTCCCACTTATAAGTCAGAGGCGAGGATTTTCCATCCACCGCTTTGCAACAGAAGAAATACCCTCGATATAGCGGTTAACCTCGGCTTGGTCCTCGTCCGGCCTCCATGCTGGCAACTTGACAGCGTTGAGGTGGAAACGGAAGGCCCCGGGGAAGTGATTCATCATGGCTACGATGTCATCTCCGGGCAGGTGACCGGAGTATCGTTTCTGGGAGGGGGGATCCACGGCCAGGAGCCTCGCTCGGGTCATCATCCAACGACAGCGGTACGTACATGGTTGGGGCGCAGGCCTCTAGCCCCAGGTCGTTGAGTTGTTGGATGAACGTTTCCCTATTGGGGCCCTCAGGCGCGATTTCAGGGATAAAGCGCGCGCCAGGCGGGGGCCACTTCGGCTTCGCGGTAGCTGGTTGCTGCAAACTTGAGGAACGGAACTCTGACTAGTGCTGTGGCAATCTGGTCGGTATAGCGGTTCTTCACCTCGAGAGTGGCGGGGATGTTCTACGTTCCGCTATCCTCCCAGTTGGAAATCGCGCGAGAAAGTCGGAGTTCCTGAGAAGTGATGGGTGGGGGGTAGCGGAGAGGTCTGAATATAGCAGAGCTTATAGTGGTCCCAGTATAGCTGACGATAGCGGCGATGCTGGCAATATCAGGGCAGCTAGCAGTGGCAGTGGCGGCGGAAGTGCTGTGGGCGGCGACGGGTATAGTGTGTTCAAGATGCGTTCAATGGTTTGTATCGTTGGGCCATTGGTGTTCAAAACTTGCCAGGAGCCTTTGTGTGTCGGGTGCTGCATTGCGGCTTAGCCGGTGAGCCATCGCCGAGAGCCCGCAACACCAAGTCAACGAGTCTCCAGCCCGGAAGAGTTCCGTCACTCTCGGATCTCCAACTATCGCCGAAAGTCATGAAACCACCCCATCGATAGGTACCCGCGGCAAATTCGATTCTGCCAATCTGGGGGAGTAAGGACATGAATTTAGTGAAAGTGGCGGAATGGCGGGATGAATCGTAACTGGTTGTCAAAAGACTGGCGCCATTGCCGTCTGCGATATTTCGAATCGTGATCAAGCCGTTGAGGTCAATGGCCGTAGGTCCCTCCTTGAGCACATGAATCCTGTATTTTACCAAGGTGTTGAAAGTGACGGCCACGTCGAGGCGGCAAGGCTCTTCAATGTATGCCCAATCGATGGTGCAACTGAGGCTAGAGATCATGTGTTGGGAGAGTGAATGGTGGCCTCCAGTGAATGGCCTTCCAGAAGGTGTAGCCGCCTCTGATAAGTAGATAGCCTGGCGTGGTTCTGGTGTGGCCACCCATAAAAGAGGGCCAGAGACTTCTCTGGGCCAGAACCACGACCACCACAGAATATTATCACCTTCGTTGTGTTGCACCTCCAACATCATGTCTTGGATGCTGAGAAAGATAGGAATGGGTTCAATGAGGCTCGGAAAGAGGTAGTTCTTGAAGTTTTCAACCCTGACGGAAGAGCATAAAAGGCAACTAGCTCCCACGAATCAGAAGCCTTGAGGAAGAATGTGACCATCTTTTTAATGCCGTATGCTCGTAGCCAATCACAGCAATACGTAACCTCGGCTTTAGAGTTGCCAGGTGCGCCAGATCCGCCATAGAAGTTTGGACGTTTCCAAAACCTGGAGGGGATTGTTGGCCGTCCTGAAAGGGAGGCGTATTGGAAGGTCGGAGTTGTGTGATGTTGGCCGAGGACATGGGCATCCGTGTAAGGTGTCTAAGCTGAAATTTGTGGGATTTGGTGTTGTCGAGGTAAAAAGGCTGATGGAGTTGATGGAAAAGCTGATGAGATTAAGAGAAGGGCTTGGTCTACCGATACGCACTTCTTGTTAATATCTATTCGCAGCTCTGTCACTGCCAGGCCCCTTTCTTCTCGACGGACTTTGACAGTGTTTACCTATGGCGCCTTATGCTACACCTTGGCGGGGCCGCAAAGAACATCTATACCGCAGCAAGGAGGCCCGACCAAGGGGAACTGACTGGGCTCATGCGTTCACTGAGAGAGCTCTGGTTGCCGGCCGGGTAGAATCTCTCGAGAAACAAGAGGAGCCAGTTCAGAGTACCGGGTACCTAGGTAACCTCTACCAGCCGCGGCCAACAGCATGAAAGCAACTACTCAGCGCGGCCACATGGGGGGTTAGTACCATGGGACCAGACTGAGCCTCTGTTGATGTCTGGTCCCGCCATAAAGGGGACCGACCCCCTTCAGCACTTTGGTGTTCCGGCGGGCTCCCTCTTTGGAGGACTTCAGAACGCCACGATACCTATGCTCACAAACGTATGCCGAAGTTCGAGGAAACCAGCTTGAACTTTCTCAGGGGGCGTTGGCCTGCTTAGCACCGTGATATGATATTCTGGATGAGGTGTCGGGCTTGTTGGCTCTCCCTAACCGCTGAAGCCGCGGTTGGCCAATCAGGTGTGGGCAAGTACCTGTGAACCAACAGTTTTCATTACTTCCGGCCAAACTCAACTTCTGGCGCGTAAAGCAAACCACGGTATTTTCTAGATACCATTATTACCGCCTATAGTTCATTCCAAAATAACTAACAAAATACCTAACCAAAGAGTGATTAACTAGATTGCGGGCTTTCATACCTGCTCACAATGAACTCATGCGCTCGAGTGATGTGAACACCCCCCGAATGGGCATTGATTTTGAATTCCCCAAAGGCATGTTCCCCGTGTCAAGGAAAGGGGCAAAATGATATTGAACTGAAGTGCAAAAGGTAGTGACAAGGATGGGATTCGAACCCATGCCCTTTCGGACCGCCAATTCAGAATTCCTGAAGACGGCGCCTTAGACCGCTCGGCCACCTTGCCTGTAACTCAGTTCTTGCATCCAGAGCCCGCATCTAGCCGCTATCACGAGTCGACCAGATTTGTCCATGTTTTCACTCCTCTCGCTGGTGCTCACAATGTCCCTTTGCCAGACCTCTTTGCCGTGAACCTGTGCTATAGGCCTTGTGTAAGTTAGCAAAGATCAGTAGGCTGCATCGAAGCTGAAATCGAAATCACTTGGGGAGAGAGGTGCGATGGAAGCCATCGAGCAATACGCGTTGCAATGTTGAAGCATCCATACTTGAAGGTAGCAAACCAAAGAAAGCCCACTTCCCATTGAAGGAGCATACGTAGCACCTGCCTAAGGGAATTATAATGACTAGCCCTGAACGCCGAACGCTCACCAGCCCCCGCTTCCAAAATAGGTATGTCCCATTACTTTACATCAGCACAGCAAACCCAACCGCCAGCATCCCCATGGCCACAGCTGCCACCCTCACACGGCCGACCCGCACATCGGCACCCGAGATGCCCACGACACTGGTAACCGACTGGGCGCCGCCAACCCGGCTCGACCCGGTTCCCTGCACCCCCGACCGGGGATCCTCGAAGCCCACCACAAACGTGCCATTCCCCAGCGCCACATTCGGCTGCACAGTAGCATTGGTCTCGGTGGTGAACGGCACCGTGCTCTGGAAGTCCGGCACCCGCCCCAGCAGGATCTCGACGCCCCGGAACGCGACGGCCGGCTGGTCCTGCGTCAGGAAGTGCCCGGTGCCGACGCCAAAGTACGTCAGGCCGCGCTCCGAGTGGCTCGTGCCGACGACGCCGGCGCCGGCAATGTTCTCGGGGTCGTCGTTGACGTGGTACGGGATGTACAGCGGGCTGGTCGGCTGCGTCTGGAAGCCCAGCTTGCCGCCCCACGTCAGGTTCTGGATGGTCAGCAGGGTGCCGTCGGCGATGAGCACAAAGTCGCGGCTGCCGTGGCCCAGCAGCACGTTCTGCGTCCGCTCAATCACCTTGGGGATCACGGGCTGGCTGCCGGGCCCCGCGAGCTGCGAGTTGTCCGTGTTGTTGACGAAGACGGGCTGCGACGCGCAGAACTCCCACGTGTGGTTGGCCGGCGCGTGGATCGCCTTCTTGACGTCGGCGCGGTCGAAATAGACGGGGCCCGCGCCATCGGGCACAAAGTTGGTGCCTGCCGAAAACCCCAGCGGGTCGAAGACGAGTGGGCAGCGTGCCCCAATCTCGTAGACGGAGAAACACGGGTTGAGCTCGAGCGCAGCCGCGTAGACTTGGAAGAAGATGTCGCACTCGGGCCGCAGTGTTTCCGACCCGGCTTGCTGTCCCGGGAGCACCGAGGGTTGGACGCCAAAGGGCGGAAAAGCAAGGTACTTTTGCAGGTAATCGGTGTAGCCACACTGTACAGACGCACTGCGCAGTGACTGGGCAAATGTGTCGTTGAAGGAGAGGATGTCGGACCACTGGTCGACGAATGTGGCAACCGGGATGTCACGGGCGATGGGGTCCTTGGAGTACAGGCCGTCGAACACCATCATGCCCGTCACGTTGAAGTAGGTCGGGTCGTTCTGGTCCAGCATGGCGCTCGAGATGTAGGGCGTATACATGCCGCTGTAGGACGAACCGGTCACGTACACCTTGTACCCCTGCAGCGTGAAGGTGTCGACAAAGTTCTTCCAGAAGCCGAGGAACTGCTGGGCTACGTCTGCCTCGTCGCGTGCAGTGGGCGTGCCCGTCGAAAAGCCCGAACCGACAGGTTGATCGACCCAAACAACGTTGGTCAGATGATGCCAGCTCCATTTGTTGGCGACTGGCTTGAACACGCCGGGCACCCATAGCACGGGGCCGTTTTCTTGCAACAGCTCTCCGACTGAAGAGCAACCCGGACCGCCCGTCAACCAAATCAGAATCTCCTTCTTCTCCTGGGCGACGGGGTTGGTGGAGGGGAAGAACCAGAAGAAGAGCTGGTTGGAGGGATCATTGTTGCTTATCGGCAGCGACCCGGCATAGGACTCTCCGACATCAAAGTCCACCTCGGGGAGGCCTGAGCCATTGACTGCGAATTCTGCAGAGCGGTCAGTATGATTCCCCACCGAATCCACATATGCACGCGGAAAGAAAGCTGATGCCTACTTGTTGTTTTGCCGTTGAGAAACAGTTGCTGCTTCTGGCGCTTCTCCACCAGATGCTCCTCTGCAGCACCAAAGTTCTGCGGAAGTATTTGCCTGCGCGAGTGTTCCGGGTGGAGCTGGTTCCAGTTCAAAGTCGCCAGGACCGATGTGGCCGAGGCCAGAAGGGGAAATGCGATAGTCCAGCGCATTGTGTGTGCAATATAAAGATACACAGTATTAAGGAGAGTAGACGAAAGAAAGCGACAGCAGAGTGCTAATCCAGAGCAAGCTAGAGACCAAGTTTAAACTCGGACGAAACTACGATGGGGTCGATCATTTCTTTAATACGTCCACCGACAACTCGGATCGGTCCAGTTCTGGATGGACAAATGCTTGGAAGCGAGCATCCAGACGATCTGGAGATCCCTGGCACAAGGAGGTCAGCGCCACATCGGCGTCTCAAAGAGGGGCCCTGCAGAAGGATCGAGCCAGCAGGGAGGATGGGGTGACATTCGGCAGCTTCCAAGCGAAAGCGAAGCCATCGTCGAGGAGGTGAAGGTCACCGCATTGGGGTCATGTCACCTCACTGTGACGCAGACTTGGGCTAACCCGGATCCTTCGGTGTAGTCCTTTGGTGACGATCGAAAAAGGAGCCGCCAAGCTATCAGCGCGTTCCTGCATCTTGGCTCTCGGGCAGTATTAGCCTGAGCAATGAGACTGCCGCTGCCGCTCGGGGGCACAGTCTGCGGTCCGTGGGTGGCTCTTTACAAGCAGCACGCGCAGCCCTACGCTGACTACCTATCCAGCCATAGGCCGGCTTATTCGAACATCAAACGCCGGTAGAAGTGGCCGCCGGGGTTGGGAAAATCTGATCGTCGGATTCTGAAACCAACAAGCCGCCGCGTCGACACTTGAGATGGAAAGCCAGCTCTGCCGCCCGTCGGAAATCCAAAACAGCCCCTGATTGGATAAATTTGTTTCGTTTCACCACCAGCCTCCTCTAATATAGAGGCGGCATCTCCATCGCGGGCTCTTTCTTTCAACCTCCTCTGCTTTGGACTATTGTCTTTTTGTTTCGGCTACACGACATGATGCTGGGAAGTCTCCTGGGTATACAAGCGGGTTACTGAAACAGCACGATGGTCTCCTGGGACCTCTTATCCGAGATTTGCCCCCCGGTAGAGACAGCACGACGACTTGGAGCTGCGGTTGCGGGAGGGAGACAATGGCTTCACTTGAGCATCGGCAAATGCAGCGATTGGAATACAGAGGTCGACGTCACTGCCGGCGATATTACGGATGCGTGGGTACCGCTATCGTAGCGGCATGCCGCGTTATGTGGTACCTGGATCTTGAAGGGCTGGCTCGGTCTTTTGCTTCCCCGCGAGCCCTTCCGTACTCAGAGGTGGCTGGTGTTTAATGATACATCCACGAAAGGGAATAAAACAAATGAAAGGGTATTCGCTCTAATCATGCCCTTAACTCATACACCACCGGTCGCTGCAGGCCCATGGGATCCCTATTCCAGACGCCTCTCTCCATATCGACCATTCCATGATGGGATGGCACTGGCCGCGGTCTAGCTTGTCTGTGGCAAGCACAAACCATGTCGGTCATGGTGTAAAGGAAGTTGTCGCCGGTCCTCCTGCTCTTCATTGCTCTATAGCCCGAAAAGAGTTAGCAGGTAGTGGTTATAGGCAAAGGGCATGATGGGGAATCGTACGCACAAAAAGATAGCACCCCTACTACCAAAGACGGGAGCCCAACACCGAGGGTTAGCCCGATAGCGAGACGGTCTGAATCAGACGACTGCGTGCTACCGCCAGTCTGGGGACTAGCAGAGGGGTTGACGGGCCCATTGTTGATGGTGCACTCTGACGAATTCGTATCTATGCACTGGTTGATGATGGTGCCGGTGTTGCCAGGTTGGTTCGACCCGCCGCCGCCTGAGCCGGAGGTATCACCAGGCGCCGGGGCTGCGGCGGTGCCCGTCGCGCCAGACGACCGGACCGAGGTCGCGGGGGCCGACGCCTCCAGAAGCACCAGCTGGGCGTCGCAAAAGGTGTTGAACCAGTCGACGGTCAGCTGTGGTGTGATGGCATCCGTCTTCCCGCACAGATACTCGACCTCGTCCATGATCCACTTGGTTCTCTTTTCTCGGTAATTCTTGTCGCACAGGCACCCCATGGTTTGGCACCCACTCGCCCACACCACGGCCGTCTCGCCCCAGCATGGTGTCGTCTCGGGGAGCTGGACGATCTTGCAGGAGCCGCATGCCTTCAGATTGTGGATTGCCGGGTCCGCTGCAAGCACTCGGTTGACATCGAGCCGGTCTCCCTGCGCAGACCTGATGACGGAAAGTAATAGTGAAAAGAGGGGACCGCGATTTCTCATCTTGGCTCTGTCGCGAGTTGCAATTGAAGTCTAGAAACTTTCGGAACAACGGGTAGAAAAAAATTGGGCCGGCGGGCAGTGAGGGAATAACCCAGTTAAACAGAGGGACCGAGGTCATGATCACCAAGGCCATATGCTGCCATCAATGAATGGTACGGAGTACCTACCAAGATGCTCTGATCAAGCTGTCCAGAACACAAAGTCCGATTGCTTGCGCAGTGCGGCTGAACTTGGGCTAAACAGGGCCTAAATCAAACAAGTTTAAACACCACACTTACACGGTCAAGGTGATCTAGACCAAGTGGTATGCTGGGCGCAGGCACCTTGCCACCGCCAAGAGTTGAGGCGTTGTCGAGACCACTGAGCATTTCAACCTGGTTTTCATCTTGGAGTGAACCCTCGTTTGATGCTGTTACTACTCTCGACATGCAGTCACACAAGGCCACCTATTAAACGAATTGGAGCAAGAAAGAGGGAAGGGGGAAAACAAGGTTTCCATCATGAGATCAATATTGA